CTAAGAAGAGAAAGTACCACAAGCTCGCCTGATATTTGTCATATTTTCCTCGGCGGGCTGGAATATTATTGACATTTTTCAGGAACATGACGGCAAGTGTTGTGATTTTCAACACGATATGAGAAAAGCTAGAATAAAGTACGAATATGGGATCGTTTTAGTCGTTAGCAGGACGCTAAGCAAGACCGATAGAGACCAAGCATCAGCCCTTATAGTCATATTACTGATACACTGAAGGTATACAGGAGAAATAAGAATTATATATATATGTATATGTTCTTACTGTCCAAGATAACAAAAAGAAACGTGTAATGTTGTTCTGTTCTGGTCCAAAATAGAAGAAATACTAGAGAAGAAAACCAAAAGGATCAATCAGTTTGTCTGATTGACACATGAGCAGAAATGTCAGGAGGAAAAAAAAACAATAAAAAACATAAATATGCCATAAAAATCCTTCACTGATGATGACAAACGTCTCCGTTTAGTGATCAGTTAGCCGTCGGACTTAAGCAGGAAAAACATTAAGAAAAAATACAACAACGTGACACAAAAACATTTTTGATAAACTAGAATCAAAAAGATTTGAATAGCTTTTTTTTTCCTAAATCGATCCTCAAACTAATCAATTCGTCATTAAAGCTTTAACTTTTTTATACACATGAGCAGGAAACCAGCTTTTTATGTCGCGTCTGACGAGCAGCAACACCTAAAACGTTCCATCGCTGATCAAAAAGTGCATTTAACGCTGATTAACTGATCGATTAATCACATGAGCCTTAATATCCGGAGCTATAGAGGCACAAAAATTAGAATTACAGAAAAATAAAAAGACAAAATGCAAGATTAGCTTTACCAAGAAGACAAAAAGCTTTAAAATGTTTAATTTGTTATCAACATTTTAGACGATTTATTCGGTTTCCATCAACTGATCAATTGATCCTTGATTTTTTTTTTTACTTTTTATTTGCATATAAGCAGAAAAATCAAGTAGAAATAACAAAACAAAGTCCCGTAAACATGCTTTTAGGTCTTTGAAATCCTGATCAGAAGGAAACTCGAAGCCGACAAGCTGACGTAATGTTAAGTTCACTAAACGTATTGATCAGCTGATCGATTAACCTTTGAGTTTTAGATATTTGTACGAATATGAGCAGAAAAATAACAAAATGACAACAAAATGTAAGATTTGCTCACATTTGACAAAAACAAATCACTGAACATATTCGACCGTTCATCAGAACCGTTGCTGATTCTGTTCAGATCCTTTGATCCATGAATCCTTGTAGCCACTGAACTTATTACCGACATCTGAGCAAGAAAAAAAACAACAAAAATGTACTTAAACCCACTTTTTAGCTCATATTTTACCGACTGTTGCCTGAGTGATTGTCAAAGCGCAGTCTTTGTATGAATCCATTAAACCAATAATCCTTAAATTTCTAACTTTCACCGACTTAAAGAACAATAAAATCAAGACAAACTCACACAACAGAGTCACATCAGTGCACTGTTCAGCTGATCGCTTTCACAAGTCGTTTGTTTTTGTGTCCAATAACTAATAATCAGGAAAATCAGAGATAAAACAACAACAAACTGATATAAACGTACGACTTTGCTCAGATTTGACAAACTTCCAGAGAAAAACTTTCCCTAAAAACACTGAATTGGTCATAAAAACGGTTGCAAATCTACTTTTATGTTCATCAACTAACGATCAGTTTTTATTTACTGACATACGAGCAAGAAAATATCACAACAAACAACACAAACAAACTACTTTGAGCGTATTTAACCAACTGGGGCAAGAAGACGTTGCTCAGCTGATCATCACAGTTTGTTTTGTGTCCATAAATTAATCATTAAATCCTTGAAATTCTCTTTTTTAAAAGTAAAAAAAAAAATAAAAACATACAAACATAAGCGCACTATTCAGGTCACATTCGACAAGCTGGCGCAACAACTGTTGCTCAACTAATCACCGAAACTGTTCCTGATTTAATCTGCGTCCTCAAATTAATCGATTAATCCTCGAAGTTTTAACTTTTTCCTCAATATACGAGCACGAAAACAAGAAAAATCACACAAAAAAACTGCAGAAATCCATTATTTCGCTCACTTTCAACAAGCTAAAACAAGAACCTTTTGCTCAGTTCATGATTCCACCAACATCTGACAAACTGCAACCAGAAAATCAGGAAAATCCAAACTGCTGCTGATTTATTTTCCATTAATTTTATCAATTAATCCTCAAAGCTCTAACTTTCTTGGACATATCAGCTGGAAAACCAACAGCACAGTGACTTAAATCCACCATTTCGCTCACGTTCAACAAGCTACCACAACAAAATGTTGCTGAATTGATCATCAAAACAGTTCCTGATTAATTTGTGTCCCTCAATTAATCGATTGGTCCTTCAAGTTCAAACTTCATCTCAATGTATGAAGATCAAAAACAAGGAAAAACAACAGCATGGTGACATAAACGCACTACTCAGGTCACATTCGACAAGCTGGCGCAACAACTGTTGCTCAACTAATCACCGAAACTGTTGCTGATTTAATCTGCGTCCTTAAATTAATCGATTAATCCTTGAAGTTTTAACTTTTCCCTCAATATATGATAAAGGAAACAAGAAAAATAACAAAAAATGAGTATAAATCCACTATTTTGCTCACTTTCAACAAGCTACCACAAGGAAATTCAGCTCAGTTCATGATTCCACCAACATCTGACAAACTGCAACCAGAAAATTCTACTAATCCAAACTGCTGCTGATTTATTTTCCATTAATTATCAATTAATCCTCAAAGCTCTAACTTTTTTGGACAAATAAGCTGCAAAACCAACAGCACAGTGACTTAAATCCACCATTTAGCTCACTTTCAACAAGCTACCACAACAAAATGTTGCCAAATTGATCATCAGAATAGTTGCCGATTAATTTGTGTCCCTCAATTAATCGATTGGTCCTTCAAGTTCAAACTTCATCTCAATGTGTGAAGATTAAAAAACAAGGAAAAATGACACAACCAAGTAACACTAATCCGCTATTTCGCTCACTTTCAACAAGCTACTGCGAGAAAATTCAGCTCAATTCCACCAATATCTGACAAAACGCAACCAGAAAATCCTAAAAATCCAAACTGCTGCTTTCCATTAATTTGATCAAATAATCCTCAACGCTCTGAGTTTTTTGGACACATCAGCTGGAAAATCACAACAGCAACACAACAAAGTGATAAAAACACAATATGTGGCTAACTTCTGATTGATCGATTATCACTTTAACTGGTAATTTGCTTTCTGGTGATCAAACCAATGGATGGATCCTTTCAGACATAGAAAAGACGACAAGAAAGCGACATGAATTCAGTATTTTCCAGACGCCCGAGTGAGCAGCACACGTGTATTTAAGTTGATTACAGTGAGAATATATGATAAATAGCAGCATGCAGCGAGAGAACTGCATCATAAACATGCTATTATCCGCTATGGCAGCCTTGTTTGAATATCACAGAGCTCCAGTCTTTTTCTTTTTCTGTTTTTTTTTTTTTTTTTTGTGGCCCTGGGGGAGGGCCGGCTGAAGCATTGCTCCAGCAGCCTAGCGGCAAGGCAGGAAAAATAAAAGCCACATAATATAATCTGAGCAGTGAGAGGCAGCGCTCTGTCTAAAATGTGAGCACACACACACACACACACACACACACACACACACACACACACACAGGAATTTAAGATGGAAACCCTTAATCTGCACCATGCCTGCGTCAGTTCTCGTGATATTTCTGAGAATAATGCAGTGAGGTTTTTTTTTTTTTTTTTAAACATAGTTTTCAATCCAGGAAGAAAGAATTAATTATATATTTTCAAAAGTCTCCTTTCACAATAAATAAATAAATAAGCCCCACACTATTGACCTTGGTGTATATCCTGTTATTGAAAAAAGAAAGAAAAAAAAAAAAAAAAAAAAAAGCTCACAAGTTCACCAACTCAATGCTGCAATAAATTAATATTTAAACAGAGGCACAATAATAATGAAATACACAAGGGGATGTTAAATATTCTCAAGATTTCTCTGCACATTAATGAGTTTTATGTCGTCCTAGCTGTGTCCTTTTTTTTTTTTTTTTTTCCACCAAGTACTAAAAAAGAAAAAAGAAAAAACTCCACATTTCTGCCTCACAAACACAATATTCCAGCTGGAGACAAAATGTCGGGGTGGGGATTTGATAATAATATCAATATGCTTCCTATTACAAGCAACAACAACAACAAAAAAAAAAAAGAAGAAGAAGAAGACTACTGCTGCTGCTCCACCTAGTCCCTGTCGAAAATAAAATATTTAATATCACGTCAAATTATTTTATTTTTTTTTTCCAAAAATGGAGACTGTCGACGCGACGGCTTTGCTAGCTAGCTTAGTTTTTTAGCCCAAAAGGCGGACTAGCTTAAAAGTTTCCTGATATTTTCGGGCAGCGAGAAAACGGCCAGAAAATTTAATTTTATTCCGCTAATGTGGCTCGTTAGTGCGGCCGGGTGGGGGTTGGTAAGCCGGGGGAGACGCTGTCGACACGACACACAAAGAAATTAATCATTAACGCGGCGAAAATATCAGAAATATTAAAGTGGAATTTAACGGCTAAAGGCTCCGGTGGCGACGCGAGGCGACGGCTCGCTGCCACCGAGCACCGTTTCCAGCCGAAAAAAACGCCAATATATGTCGGTTTATTCTCCAAGCCTCGGTCGGGGAGGGAGAGGAAAAAAAAAAAAAAAAAAAGTTGCCCGAATAAAGTTGTAATTGCAGTCGGAGCAACTCTCGGTGGCTTGATATGGGAAAACAATCAATACGACGCGGCCAAACTAAATGAAATAAAACGCGGATTTCGGCTTCGAAATCAGCGACACACGGTTGGAATTTTACCCGCCGCCAACAGGTCACGAAACGGCCGTTTACGAGCGACAAGAAGCTGCATTTATTTGGAAATTATATCGGCTTTACCTGTATTGCATTGTGCTCCATTGCAGTCCTGCATTCCCTCTGTGTGAGGCCCCTCTCCGGTTACACCGCCGGGACTCGCCGACACACAAACAAAC